TGTTAGATGCTCTTGAATAGGATACCTTTTCTTAGTGGAATTACTCATGAAAAAGTGAGTTTCTGATATATAGAGTGATTATTTAGAATTTCAAATAATTCCCAAAAACCGAAACCATGAAAATATCATCAACAAAACGACCATAAATCAGTGGGTTAAGTGGACAAAGGGGTAGTACCATGAAATACTATGCCATGTTTACGTGTGAAGGAGCGAAACGCTTGACCGAAGTTTGCAGATATGTTTTACCATTAAATGTTAAATCATTTCAACTTAAGCAAATCTCTATAGGAGCTGCAGAATTTCCTCATCGAGTCTGTTAGTGTCCGGGTTTCTTTCAACCGCTTTGTGGAATGCCATTATAATACATGTGTAGGCCTACAGGTCAGGAAAAAAAATCTGGAGAACCTTGCAACATCTGGAGATTGGGCTCTATGTATTGTTTTAACATAATTATATAAACACATACTAGAATGTTTAAAACGAAAATATTCATTTTGATAAAAGATATGCTTCTTTAAATAACGCGTTTAATACTAGTCATCAAAAACGGTAAGTGCATCGGTAGTTTCCGCCATAGTCGTTTTTGTGCAGTTGGGCATGATGCTGCAAGTTGGGCAATGCGGCAAAACGAACCCACCGTTTTAACCTAGTTGAAAAAACACGACGATTTCGACTAATTGTGACGACTTCGGGGCCTGATCAGTAGTCTCTGACGCCCAGTCTATGCCTGTCTATGACGAGTCTTTTGCAATGATCTTTATAAATATTTATATAGATCAGTGGTCTTTTGTCGAAACTGTACGTAGACAACGAGGGACTGGGTGAGAGAGGCTAATGTATCAGAGGCTCGGGTAAGAAGCAATATACCTTTAGTTCCGACATTTTTATTTTAGTTTTCGGATTAGAGAATCTTGCATTAAATAAACCAACTAGACAAACTAGTGACTATGGCGGTAGATTGTCTTCTGAAGCTGTCGATGGATATCTAAACACGGTTGCCTTCCACTGCTCTCGTACAAACAGTCCAACAGATACACCTAATTGGTTGGTGGTTGACTTAGAAGTTGAATATGAAATTACAAGAATCAAGGTTTTAAATAGACAAAGCAACGGAGGTTGAGTATTTTGACTGGAGACTTTACTCTTCTTTTTATTTTACATCTTGAATTTCGATAGCTTTTAAAACTTGGAATCATTATTACAAATAATGAGCAGTGTAGCCTTTTTATACTGATGCGCTTTTTCATCCTTGCTCGAGAGTTCGATAGGTCGAGCTAATACGTTAGATTTCCTTCTATAAAGGAATTGCAGATATTGAAAAGTGCTATTCGTCGGATGGAACAATAAAACCGAGGAGGCGACTTTAATTACAACATGTGCACTTTAAAGATCTCCCGACCGATGGGAGAGGAAAAGAGTGGACTGTCTTTCTGATGATAAATTCACGTAAAATTTCTATCACTAATATTTGAAAGTAGCAAAAGAACAAGTTGTATTAGCAACGTCATCAACGTTCTGGACTAGTTTCTAGCTTGAAAGTAAACTAGGAAATTTCAATAATTTGACGAGTATGCTGGTCTCACACTGATAGTATCAATTTGCAACATTCCAATTTTCAATTAGACGTCCGTGGTTCATGCATAATAGCGAAGCGCCTCATGAGAAAGGCATATTTATGATTAGTGACGAAAATTGGTCCAAAAGTAAACAGATTATAGGAATTTACAGAACTGTATTACTGTGACCAAATTTCCTAAAATATCAGATTATCAGTCATCAATTGGGAGAATTATATAATATTGAGCTGGTTTGTATTTTTATAATAATTTTAATTTTAGGTGATAAATTGAGAAATTTTACTGTTTCTGTTTGGCAATATGATCCTGGTCCTCATATCAAATATAACATGGTGGATAATGAAAACTGTATTTGTGTCCATTACCCGAACACAGCAGAGAGAGGCACCTGGACAAATTTAACATGTACGAAAATATGTTTGGGAAGATTTGTTCTGTTTGTTTTGAACAACCTAGATTATTTATCAATATGTGAATTAGAGATATTTGGTGATATATACAATGGCTGTTCAACACAGTACTTACCTGGTAGGTTTAGAATAAAGGGATATATACTTCTAATAATGAGATTATCATTACTGCAGGAGTCAACTCATAACTATAGAGAACTTGTCCATTAATTAATAAGCAACACTAAGCAATAATTTGAATATATGATTGCAAAGAATTTTATTATTTATATTTTTATCTTTTTTATTACAGAAATTCATATAAAGAAAGTGGTAGGTAAACGTTCCAGACCACCAAATTGTACACTCTTACCATATGAAGTAGCCGATGTATATGAGTGTAGCCATCAATGTTTACAGATGAACAACTGTATCAGTTTTAATTATGGCCCTAATTTAATCAACACTATTAATTGTCAATTAGTGAGATGTTTTTCACACCCAAAACAAGACTTTACTGTAGATAGTGATTGGAACTGGCGATATTTGTCACGTTAAAACATTTTCTGTAGACATTAAGACTATATGTCTCATTCTAAAAAGGTTGAAAGTTGACAAAATAAGCTTCTGTTTAAGCCATAATGGAGGATATCATATAAATTATTTCGGCCTACTACTTGTTTTGTTGTATATCATAAGTACTATCTCTACAGACAATATAAACTCCTGTTCAGTGAGTGTGCTTACTTTGCTCCATACCAAATTATAATTTCGCATCTTGGTGCCCATAGGGATATCTGCCACTTGCTGATAAATATCGCCGCCAAATTCAACAAAAATGTTGTCAATATGGAATCACTATGGTTCTTAACAAAATATGTCAAATTATAATTGACAACAATTTTTACAATGGAAATCTATACATAAGATCTATTAGACGTGCTTTGAGCTTACTACGCTGAATATTTGTGTAAAGGGTTGAAAAATCCAAGGTTTTTTTTTTATTGATGAAAGTGCCTTTGACTGTAAATTTTCTAATAGTTATTTTAAATTCTTTAAGATCCACATTTGACTAATTACACTGCGAAAGTAAATGTTTTGCAGTATTCCTGAACACGTTTTTTAACTGCAGTTACTATTGAAGTAAGTTATGCGAATTGAACTATATCATTTAAATTATGTATAAATATATGAAATAGTGGATAATGCTTGATCAATAAGACATCAATCGCAGTGGAGTGATTAATCGCATGACGTCTGGGTGTTTTTACTACATTCTTTTCTAGCTTTCAAACGTAGTCAAAGAAAAACCGGAATTTTACTGGAATATTTTCAAACAATGTAAGTTCTATCTGCTAGTTTGTTAATTTTGTAAAAAACGCGTCTGAAAATTTTGTGCCGAATATATTTTTTCAATATTGCAATTAAGACTAAAACCATTATTCAGGTAATGTATCACTTCTTGGCAAACATTTTACCATCAATTGCAAATTTCTGAAAGCTTTTTTTTCATGGTATTTTTGATGGGAGATTTTGCACACAGGCCTTTGTAGTTCTGAAAAAAATTGAATTCTAAGATTCAAAAGTTCTATTTGACGATATTATCACTAGTTTGTTTGTTTGATCAGCTTCATTGTTAAAAATGCGAGTCACTTAATAAATGTGTGATATTAAGAAAATCTTTGATCATTATGAAATCTATATGTTACAATGGGGTTGTTGGATGAAGGGAATTTGTGTGTGATGTGTTTATATGTAGCGTGTCAGAATGCATAAAATCAAAAGCTAACTTTAGTCCCAGATACACGAAAACTTTAAAGATGGGTTCCTTTATTTTCATTTATGAAAATGAAAATGCTAATACTTATATATAGAAAGTAGGGGTGTTCTTATGACTTCGAAAAATACCAGTTTGTCTCACATGTCCATAATTAATTCATAATTAGCTAAATTAGAAGAGAATTACCACCAGAATTCCAATGTATGACCGATCAAGAAAGGTCAAAAAGTCTTTTTTTTTGTTTATTCAGACTGTACATACATGGACATTTATGATTGGTTAAAACTCTTAATTATATACAATAAGAATATAATGATACGATTGAGAATACATTATAATTCATAAGAAACACCAATTAATCAAATAGTTTGCTTAATTTGACACTAAGGAATAAGGAAACCCATCTTTAATACATCATAAAAGTATACAAAGTATGTATATGGAACTAAATTAGCAAGAAATTAGTTAATTACCAAATTTAAAACGAACTAATAGTAACCATAACGATAAACAAATCAATACATGTAGATCAATCTGCTACTGAAAATTAATAAACCTTGAAATGAAACTAGTTCACTTTATTCGATTTTCTGAATATTATTAACCCAACAGAGTCATAAAAGCCCTGTCTGCATGTGACATGTATTTCAGCATGCCTTTAATGTCTGTTAACTTGGCTGGTGGAAATGATTTTCGATGATGCTATCTTAGGTGCTAGTACATCAATAGATCAAGTTAATCTATTTCTTGATCGTCTTTGACAGAATACATTTTCAGATACTCAATCTTTTGAAAAGTTAAGTTTATATAACGACACAATATTTATGCACTACCGTGTGGACTTCTAGATGATGTTCCATATAGATTTTGATGACGGTTGAAAAAATGCTATTTCTGTTTTGTGGCACACACGAGTAGCTCCACATAATAATATTCTTTATACGAGGGTAATCAGTGTGGTGTAAAATAGCATCAATAATTTTCACAGAAGAGCTAGCGATGTCATTAGCAGAACGCCCTTTTTGAGCCTCATTTCATACAGCCCCGTATCCTTTTTATTTACAGGACAATGGGCTGTTATGTTGGAAAAAAAAATGTCATTTAATGATCAAAATTTGTAAAATATCTTGTACCTGTCATTGTAGACTTCACTGACCGAGCAGACTAACTTTCCGCGACTGTAAACATACTGTTGACCAGATACTTTCCGCGACTGTAAACATACTGTTGACCAGATTGTCGTAATCGTTTTTTAACAAATTTTTTCAATTACTGGGATCACGTTTGTATTTACGAGTGAGGGATTTCCTAGTCCTAGATGTTTAAGGATGATTACAGTTCTCGTCGGAATAAGAAGTTTTGATGTCGTGACCAGATGTTTTATTCCAGTTTTTACTGACTATTTTGTAGTTCAGAGACCTCATTACGCTGTCGTCTCCTGACTGAACAGGAACACCCTGAATGTGTTTGTGGTTATTAATTTGAAGACGCCGAGCATTATCTCACCCACTGCTCCTTTCATTTTTGGATGCCCACAATGTCATGCCATTTTGTACGTATACCTTGACTGCAATAGTCACCTTGATTGTATCATAGAAATTTGTAAATGAATCAATTTAATTAATTGAATTGTACGCTAGTGAATACAACCAGACAGAAAGTCTGAGAACGCAAAGCAATATGTTTGCAGCCTTTCTGTCGCGGACTTCCATGATACAATACGCCCACATTCTAAGTTAATTTTGAAGGGAATAAAACTGCGAAAGAATATCGTGTTATTTATTAACCAATGCCTTTACTATACGGTTAAAAAGCATTTAGGAATAACAGACAAGTTAGTTGTTTGACTGGTGTAGAAATACTTGAAATTCCTATATTTAAAATCATGAGGTTAAAATCAATAAATCAGATTTCACCATGCGGCAAGTCATTAGGAAACCATTTAGAAATCTCAATGCATGTCGATAACATCTATAGTAAAATGTATTTCAATTCGATGTGTTATTATGTGATAGTCGCTCTATGCATATCGTGGTCATTATTCGTGCGTATTTACTATTAGGCGTATATTGGCACTCTAGAAGACACAATTCTTGATGGATTTAGACAAACTTGATAAAATTGTTTATAATACCACAAGGATGAACCCTATCGAAAATATCAGAAAAATTAAAAAATATTTAATTTGAGTTATTGCCCTTCAATACGATTTCAATTTATAGTCGTAAACGAAAAAAAAGGTTTGATTCTTGACAGATTTTTACGAAACTAGGTGTGAGTGCTTGTACACACCCAAGGATGAACCCTATTGTAATCAGAAAAGTGTGAGTTATTGTCCTTGTTTTTGAAAAAGTAGTAAATTTGTATCTCGTAAACACTCTCGAAGGCACAGTTCGAAATTAGTATGACTTATTGCCCTTGTTCTTTTTGATTTTTAGCTAATTAACACTCTAGAAGGCACAATTCAAAGATGGATTTTGACGAATGATGATAACAAAAATTACTTTGTATTAAGTGCGAGAAAAACTAACAGCATGTTTTATTCGGGATAGGACCAAATACTGAAAATTCTGAATAGCATCTATAGACCAATTTGATAATATGCCGTTTGTGTGGATGAAATTAGTTTTGTTGAATTTATTTGGATTTTGGAATACCGATGTAGTTGGTAAGTGATATTTTGTGACATTATATAGATTTCGGGGTTGGGAGGGTTTGATTTTCCCAAATGTAAATGCCTAGGATGAAACAAATACTTATTTAAGAAAATGGAATTAACGGTCAGGAAATGCTGAGAAATTCATCTGTTCTGTTCTGTTCTGAAATTAGATAAAATAAAACCTTACCAATGTGTGAAAGGTTAGTTTGCTATATACTAATGGGCTCTAGTTTGCTATGA